CTTATATCCAGTTGATTAGGTCCAATCCAACCAGTTCACCAATCAACATGTGCCACCTCGATTAATTAAACACCTCGTCATTTCACACCGTCTCCCCGCACATTCCTAAATCTACAATTCTATTTGCTACTATGGAATTAATTACAATGCTCAGCAGCTATCAATTGATTCTCCATTCAAGAGTCACGACAAAACAAATCAAAGTGGTGCTTCACTCCTCTTTTGATTAAAAGACGGTGCTTCATTTCTCTATTGACAAATTGAAAGAGGATGGCTGGTATAAGGGAAGTTTGCTTTTAGAATTATACTGATATGAAATTTTTATGCATGAAGGCAGTTCTTTGATTTTTCAAAACCATGGGTACCTAAACATCTTTGGACTAAAAACAATGTCTTCAACTCTTTCAACAATTGATTTCAAGATTAAAGAAAGATGATGATGAAGCAAGAGAAGGGAAGAACCTAGAAAGAGAGACTTGAGCAAGATTTGACGGCAATCACAGTTCTAAAACCAAGTACCTCCTCAGAATCTCAGGCCATTGATATCCCAATACTTGCAAATCACGATCGCCACTCCTCTTCACGGATCGTGAATCCATAACACAGATTGCTACCGTCCTTTGCTTGTGAATCTTCCTCAGCTGACAATCTGCTTTGCCGAGTGCATTGCCACTGCCCTCTCTTCATCGCCGCCGCAATTGCTTGGCCATTATCGCCATCGGCTGCCATCATTTCTTCACAATCACTGCCGTGAAGGGAGATAGGGAGGAGAGATCCATAGTAGCAAATAGTATTGTGGATTTAGGAAATGATTGTATCTACAGGAATCTTCTGCCTTCTGTGAGGCTCAAGTTTCACAAGATCCTGGTAATGCTATCTCGGATCTCTTTCCCTGATATAATCTGTTTTGATTTGTTAATTTCTCAAGCTCAAGCTTACCTTGTTATTCCCCAAAAACAGAAAAAGGAGGAGGTGAGTAACGTTGCGACTCGTTAACGAAGGAGAAGACGCTGTGAAATATGAGGTGTTTGGTGAATCCAGGTGGCACATGCTAATTGGAGAACTGGTTGGACTGGACCTAATGAACTGGGTATAAGTTTTCTCCCTTATAATAATGGTAATTCTAGCCAATACACTTGATTAGCAAGAATATTTTAGAAAAAACAATACTTATTTATTACAGATAACTAACTTAACTAATTTTCTTAATTTATTTAAATTTGTCAATCAGCTCTTATATTAATGATCGGAAGTAGTATTTTTATTAACCACGTTGAGTTACTTGGTCAGTTAGAGGAATTGATTAAGTGCATATTTGGAATAACAATAGAAAAAGTAGTTTATTTTTAATCTGATTTTTGAAAAAATGAGATTGGATAATATGATTTATGTTTGGATTGGCTTTTGAAAAAGTTAGATTAGGTAAAATTAGAAGTTGTTTGGATGATGATTGAATGAGTAAATTTAGTTTGTAAAAATACCAAAATAGTTATGACTTTATTAGATAATGTAAAATGAAAAAAATTGTCAATTTACATAATACTAATATTTTAAATTATTTTAATTGGAAGAAGTTAAATTTAATGAAATAAATATATTTAGTTTAGAAAATTTACAGAACATATTTTTTAATACGGAAATAATTTCTAAATTTAGATTTAATTCAAATAAAAATTTATTAATATATCAGAGAAATAAGATGCCAAAAGGGGGGAAAAATCTCTACAGAACTCTAAGAGTGCGTTTGGTATGAGAGATTTGGGGGAAAGGATTTTAATCATTTTTTCTTATTTGGCAACACACAAAGTTTAAGAGGGGAAGGAAAATTTTACTTCCCTCCCCTCCTCAACCTCCCTTCCAAAATTGGGAAGATTTGGAGGGAAAGGATAATATTTTGTAATGTTATGACCATTATACTCATATTTATTTTTAATATCCATATACTACCTTAAATCCTTCTCTTCTTGTCTCTAGACGCTACTCTCTCCTTTGCATGACCAAAAATATCATTCGAAGATAGGATACAGTACAAGTTATAGCTGAACATTACTTCAGCTTTCTTTTTAATAATACTTCACGCTCTAGAGTATATTAGAATTTTGATATAAGTATTACTTAATATATTAAATGTTATTTACAATTCTATTTTATTAAACATTCTATAAAATTTGAAAAAAATAATCTTAAATAAAATAAGGGTAAAATTGTCAATGTTAAAATATTTTTTCCTTCCCTCCCCTTATGAACCAAACAAGGTAATATTAAAACTCCTCCCTTCCCCTCCTTTTTATAAATCCAAACAAAGTAATATTAAAAATTTAAAATCCTTCCACTCTTCTTCCCTCTATTAAAATTTCTCCCCTTTCTTTCTTCTCATTGAATCAGACAGACCCTAAGCAAAAAACTAATGTTAACCGTGCTAAAATACGTGGGCATGTATTCACCACCTCTTTTATTAAATTATTTTTTATTTATAACTTTTCAATATCTCGATAACCCATTAATCCCTACAGTCTAACAGATCATTTTCCTTTTCTTCGTCTCCGTCAAAATCTGGGCCACATAACCTGTGACGGAACCGGTCAACTCTTGCATTGCTCTCGATGGTGCGATAGCGGCCAGGAGTTGGAGATAGCCAACATGATTAGGTGACGGCAAGGACAAGTCGGATGAGAGGAGGGAAGGAATAGATGAAGGAGCAAGAAAATGGAGTCAAGAAGAGTGAGTGGAGAATGGGGGCGAGGAGTGGGAATTTTCTTTTTCTAATAGTAATTATTATTTTAACAGTACCTTACCATTCATCTATAAGCACAATGAAAAAGCAATAAGCAGCTCTGAGGTGCTTAATTCAATCAGGCTTATGAATCCAGTTTTTAGCCATTAAGTAGGATAGAGAATAAGCTCATCCAAACAGGTAAGAATTTCTTAAACGTGCTTATGAGCTGAATAAGTTATTTTTGAAAGACTCAAACGCTTGAACAAATAGAGCCTAAGCATCTTTTGTTGATTAGTGGGAACATTTGAGTGGATACCTTCAAATAATCTCATGAGCTCGATTCGCTTAGCAAGAAGTAATTCCAGCTTCCATTACATGGCCGGCCGACCAGTTTCTTCATTGTTCAGATAAATAGAACCAACAAAATTATAGCACTGTCCATTAGTAGAAGGAAGATTTGACCATACAAGATTTTGAGCTACATATATGGCGGAAGTTTTTATTTTTTTTTAAATAGCAACTATATATCCTATAATCACGAGATAGCAAAGTTAAGGTTATTTCTTTTATCAACATCAATCTCTCGTTAAGAAAGATAGGATGTGATCAAAGATGCAATAATTTTTTTTCATATTATATGATACTCCTCCGGTCCTAATTATAAGACCCAATTGACTTATTTGAGGAGATTAAGGAAGTAAGTTAAGTTGGTTATTTATAATAAATAAGTGTTGTTATTCCTAAAATATCTTTGCTAATTAAGTATATTGGCTAAAACTATCATTATTAGAAGGATTATCTTGGAAAAAAATGCATAAATACAAGAGAGAAAATGGATTGGGTCTTATATTTAGGACCAAATAAAAAGTCAAATTGAGTCTTATAATAAGGACCGGAGGAGTAACTTGACAAGGTAATCGGCTATAAAATTATTTTCTCTTTTTTTGATAATAAAAGAGGCTAAAGACCTAGACTCAAACTGAAAAACCAAAGGTAGTGATGATCTGCTGGTTTTTGAAGATTTAGGCAGTGGTAGATTTTAATTGCTAGTGTTTTCTCTTTTTTCTTTTCTCCTTGTTCACCAAAAAAAGAAAAAAAACTAAAAAACCAAAAAAGAGACACACAACCAAAGGTAGCGATCCTTAGCCCGTGTCTTTCCATCTTTGCGACTCTTTCTCCTCCCTTATCATCGTCTCAAGCTGTGGACACATATCCAACAAAAGTCTTCTTTCACCTTTCCTACAATACTTCAAACTCAAGTTCGCCATTTTGTCTGGTTACGTACTCTATCGATCCAAAAAGCTTTAAAATTTCTGAATTCCTCAGTCTTCCTTCTAATCGCACAAGTGAGCATATCCAATTCTTACGAAGTTTGCCATTTAGAATTATTTTCTCTACAAGTATGTAGTCAGTCGTGACACGCCAGTTCTTACAAAGAAGTAATCTAACTTCATCAACAGGGTCTCTAAAAAAGTGTATAGGATTACAGCCTCGATACAAAAAATTAATAACATCAATACAATTAGAAAAGATAAAGACATTTTTATAGTTTTTATACCAGCACACGCATTACATATCACGGAAGTTAAACACAGCAAAACTAAAACTGAAACAATTCTAATATTGTTTTGATAAAAAAATGGGGCGGGGGGTTAAGGTATTTTGTTAGATGTATTTAGGATCTTGAATTTTTTTTTTTTTGGGTAAGAGTAGAGTATCTTGAAATTATTTGTGGTGTAATTTTATTACCAGTAATTAAGATAGAACAATCCCATCCCTGCCGTTAAACTCGAAACGTCCGTTAAGCTTTCTCCATTCTCTCCTTTCCCTCTATTCATCAAAGGAGGCGGCGGCGGCTTCTGGCGAGGAGCAAGAAAGGCAGGGTCGGCGGTGAGAGAGCGAGCATGATTTCTACAAGATATGGGATATGAGATTGTCAATGGAACAATATGAGATAGTCAAAGATATTAGGTCTGGGAATTTTGGTGTTGCCAAGTTGTTTAGAGAGAAACGGATCGGCGAGTTCTTTGCCGTCAAGTTCATTGAGAGAGGCTTCAAGTTACTCCTTTTCTCTGTTTATTTACCTTTGCGTTAATGACTCGGATTATTCTTCTTACCTTCTTCCCCATCCCTTTGATTCTGCAGATTGTGAGCATATACAGAAAGAGATTACAAATCACAAATACTTGAAACATTCTAACATCATTCAATTTCAGAGGGTAAGGCCCATTTTTATCTCAAACTGTTAAACTCAGAAACACAAGTTTTTTGTTTTTTTCTTTTTTCCCGGTAAACAGAAACACATGTTCTTTGATTCCCTTTTGTTTCAAGAGGGAAGAAGAGATTCATTGTAAAGTTGATTGAATTATTATAAGATTATCCATTGCTTAGATTTTGCTGACTCGGCTCATCTAACTATAGTCATGGAACATGCTACTGGTAGAGAACTTTTTGAAATGTGTAATATAGGAAGATTCAGTGAGTACGAGGCACATTAATTTTGGTTTGTAATAATTTGATAATTGACAACTGATGATACAAACCTTCAATCACTTTTACTTGATAGTGTCTTTAGTTGATGGAGGACGCCATAGCCGGCGTGGTTGATGAGTGAAAGGGACAAGAAGGGAAGGAAAAGCAGCACAAGGGAAAGCTTAACCGACGTTTTAAGATTTAACGGCAGGGATGAGGTTGCCCCATTTTAATTATTTAGGGTAAAATTTCGCCGCACGTAACTTTAGAAAAAAATGGTCCAAGGGCACCTTAACTTAAAAAAAAAAAAAAAAAAAAGTGCCTCCCAAAGGCAAAAACCCTCTCCCCCTTCTGTACTCATCCTTCCTGCTTCTCGCCACCGTCGCCTCACTGCTGACTAATATCTTGTGGTTTGTGGTCCTTCCTCATCCTGCTTAGTGCCCGAGCGAATGCTGGTGGTTGTGACTCGTGCTCCTTAGTGCTCATTTTCGTGCCTATTGCCTTCAAGTTCGTGCTCTTCTATCTCGCTTATGGAGTTTCAGGTTCGGCCTTCGCATCGAGCTTCGCTGTTGCTCGTGACCTCGTCTCCTCGCTGTCGCTATCCTGAGTCCAGCACTGTCGTTCTCCTCAGCTAATGTATTCTGGTATTCTGGCTTTTTCTTGCATTCTGGTTTGTAATTCTGTATCGAATGGATTGTGCTGTTTATATATTTGGAATTGAATTCTGGGATATCGTGATTTCTTCATAACAGACAGATAGTCTAAGCAGGAACTTTAGATAGTATTTAATAATATTGGACCTTAATCATATTCTGGTATATAGCTACCATTATTACTTACTGTGATAATGCTGTTATGTGGTCCTCTTTTATATTCTTTCTACAAGCTTCCATCTTGAGGTTTGTAGTCACCATAAAGTATGCATTTTTCCTGTTAATCATCGCTTTCGGTGCTGTTATCTAGGTAGCTTAATGATGGTCTTCATCTGTTAATTCCAAGAATTTCTTGCCTTTTGTTGAGTTGTTCCAGTTTGGACTGATTTCTCGAGGAATTTGAGGTTTTATAGAAGAGTGCCTTAAATGTCACAGGATATCCTTGCAGCAGCTTGGTTTTACTAGTTTTGTTGATAACTGTTGAATTAGATTTTTCATTCAGGCTTGTAGAGTGTTGGCTGTATCAAATATAACACTTTTAATTTGATTTTAAAATCCTGGTCTTGTAAGGGCGGCTTGTTTGTTTGGACTTGATAAAAATAATAAGATTTACTTGTATAATTTCTGTTAAGTTCCGGGATCCAAAGAAAACCCTTCACTTTACTTAATGAGAAGTATATTAGTGACACATGGCTTGTCTGCAGGCAAAGTGGAACTTTATCTTCTACTATTGCTAGGTGCATGGATAACTTTGTGCTCACGAGTTACCTTTTATTGTTGTTTAACATTAGAACAAAACTATTTATGAGCTTCACTTAATAGTTGAAGTTATGATTTATGTGTGCATTACTCATACTTGTGGGTAAGTATATTAGTGTAACATGGCATGCTTGCAGGCAAAGTAGAACTTTATCTTCTAATATTGCTAGGTGCATGGATAACTTTATACTCACGAGTTATCTTTTATTATTGTTTAAACTTCTTTTTACTATCTACTTCCACACACAAACATGCCGAAGCCTGCAAGTCCATCATTGATGAAATCCCACATCAAATAAAGCACCCATCATCTTGTTTTCTCTGCACCCAATTCTCTTTTTCTATTACTCTTTCTATTCTGTTTCCTTTCACTCAAAGAAATAAAAAATTTCCATTTTCAGGTATGAAGTAATATGATCACTTTTTCTGTTGCTCTGTCTATTCTCTGATAGAGCTCTCCAAATAGCCGAATTTCCTCTCAATTTCTGAAGCATGGCTAGCTACCACTCATTTCTGATAGCCAATGGTTAGGTCTGCTTTTGCCCTACCTCTGACAGCCTCCTCTGAGCAACCCCAGCAGGTTTGGTTGTTCTTTCTTATCTTTCTTCCTCTCCCTTTCACTGTCTTTGTCATTTCCTCTTCTTTTCATGATTTTGATTCTAACATTTATGCACATCATTTTAGTTATCCAAGTGATTCACTGTCTATGATTAGATAGGTAGATTAGGTCGTTGAAAACTGTGAATGAGCAAACTTGCATGTTGCGCCTGCTTGACTTGGTGTAGCATGATCTCAATGGTTTTAAGTCTAATTATTAGCTTTGGGTATTATCAAGTTCAGGTGTTAGTTTAATCTTTAGCCACAAGAAAATTTATCAGAGCATGGTAATTTTTTTGGGTATCCAATGTGATTAAGATGTTTTGTGTACGGGGGATTGTTAGTTATCATGTATTATTCATGCAAAGTGTGGTTTGCCTTTGTAAGAGTTGTTTATTTACTCATTTCAGTATAGGTGATTGCCTAATGTGTAGAGATTGTTTTTACCCCCAGTGATTTTCTCACTATTAAATATTTCTCATTTTTAATTAAATTTGAAATAACAGGAAAATTAGTTTGTGGAAGAAGACCTATTGTGACAGCAATGCCATAAAAGAGTCTGATTAGTCTACTTTCATATGGTGTCTCTTGTTCTTGTTTTAAGTTCATTCTTTGTGAATAACTTAAGTGAGCATTAATTTGGTTTTCTTTGCCATCCATCCTATTTGACTTTAATATTGGTCACTGTCATTACACTTTCTGTGATCCTTTCTCTTGGATTGCAATTTTTTCCCTTGGATCTTTGAAAGTTTGTCTTTTTGGCACTCAGGTTGGTGTCTGAAACACTTGGTGTTGCAGTGTAACGTGTTGTTGAAGAAGATGATCAAGAAGATGTTAATTTCTTCTAACTTATTTTTTAGAATCAGGAGAGAAGTAACAACCTGTGCTCTTCCTATTGACCCTTTAGACATGGCAATCTCTATTCCTTCTGGAAGCCACAAATATCTTTGCCATTCCCTAGCAGATCAGCTTATACAAAGGGGTTTATTTTCATCTGCTCAGCTAGTCATTCAAAGGATGATCAGCCATTCTATGTCTGTTGCTGATGCCGTTTCAGTTGCTAATTCTGCTGTTGGTCGTGGGTTGGACCTTGATTTAAATACCTATGCTGTCTTAATAAAGAAGCTGGTGAGTTTAGGGGAGCCACAATTAGCAGAGTCGCTTTACTTGATAGAAATTGAATCTCGAGGCAATAATGCAGACCCTTCGATTTTGAATTCTATGGTAGTCTGCTCATGTGAGTTGGGAAAGGTAGAAGATGCAATAAATCATTTTAATAGGCTTCTTTCCTTGAATTTTGTGCCTCAGAAAGAAGCATGCCTTGGCATTCTACAAAAGTGTTATGCCCAAGAACGATATTTGGATGCATTTGATTTATTTCTTAGAGCCCAATATGCAGAAGCAGAACTGAGTTTTGAGTGCTATAGTCTATTAATTGATGGGCTATGCCATAAAGGGCATTTGGATGAGGCACTTCAAGTGTTTAATCTGTTGCAGAACTATCATAAACATCTCCCTACAGTTCATATATACAAGTCACTGTTTTATGGTCTCTACAAGGGTAGCAGAGTATCGGAGGCAGAGTTAATAATTGGGGAAATGGAATCCCAAGGTATATATATTGACAAAACAATGTATACTTCTCTGGTCCGTATGTATTGTAGAGACAAAAGAATGAAGGTGGCTATGCAGGTTTTCTTTAAAATGTTGAAGACAGGTTGTCAGCCAGATCGATCCATGTGTAATATTTTAATTGATGGTTTTATGAAGTTGAGTCTATATGACAAAGGCTGGTTTATGCATGACAGGATGATGGAGTGGGGAATTAAGCCTGATGTGGTGACTTATCAAGTTATAATGGCCCAGTACTGCAAAGAAGAAAAATTTGATCTTGCTTTAACACTTTTCTACAATATGATTAATTCTAAAGTAGCCCCCAATGTTCATTGTTACACTGTTTTGTTCTCTGCGCTGTACAAGCATAATAAAGTGGAAGAGTTTTATGAGTTGTACAAAACTATGATGGAAAGCAATGTTATTCCTGATCATGTGCTGTATTTGAAACTTGTGAAGATTTTGCCTGTTTGCAAGTTAGAGCTTGCCTTCACAATTTTGCAGGCCCTTGCTAAGAATGGATGTGGGATTGATCTTATGCTGCCTGCTTCTTCTAGTCCAAATCCAGATTTTGATTTTGAGCAAGAAATCGAACTCTTGTTGGAGAGAATTGCGAGGAAAAACATCAACTTAACTATTGTAGCCTGTAGTATTTATATCAATGCCTTGTGTGAGAAAGGAGAAATAGACAAGGCATTAGTCCGTTTGAAAAAATTGGATGATGCTGGATACAGGCCCTTGCATTTCTGTTACAACTCACTTATTAAGTGTTTGAGCAAAATGGGGCATTTTGAGGATGCTAACTTTGTAATTGACCTTATGGAAGATCGTGGCTTGGTTCCTGATCAAGCAACGTTCTTGATAATTATAAATGAGCTTTGTAATCAGGGTGATGTAGTCTCTGCAGTGAACTTCCTGGACCAAATGGAAGAGAGAGGAATGAAGCCCTCTGTTGCTATTTATGACTCGATTATAGGCTGTTTAGTTAGAGAAGGAAAAATTACTGAAGCAGAAGACATGTTTAAGAGAATGCTTATGTGTGGTGTAGATCCTGATGAGGCTGTTTATACTACAATGATTTATGGATACTCCATGAATGGAAGAATACTTGAAGCTCGAGAATTATTTGACAAAATGATAGAGAATTCCATCAAACCAAGTTATCGTTCTTACACTATTCTTATAAGTGGATTAGTTGAGAAGCACATGATTGAAGACGGGTGTATATACCTTGGCAAAATGTTGGAGGATGGTATGGTGCCGAATGCTGTGTTATATACCTCTCTTATCTTACATTTCATGAAGAACAGGGAGTTTGGAGTTGCCCTTAAGTTAGTTAATCTAGCGGGCAAAAATGAGGTAACTTGGGATCTTATGATGTGCATGGCATTTGTGAATGGAGTTCGCAGATATATCTCTTGTAAGAATAACAAAGATTACAACTTACCAAGGAAGTCTGAATGGGGAAAAGAGATGCTATTATATTTGCTTAATTGGAGTCCCTTTCCTGCGATTGAAAACAGCATAAGAGTTCCAGCCAATTCTTCTGATGCCCTGAAATGGTTGGCTAGGAAGTTGATAAAGGTTTTTAAAGGTGCTGCAATTACGGATAATCTCTACCTGAACAACTGCATAATATCATGGCTTTGTAGGGAAGAAATGATTAATGATGCATATAACCATTTTCAACTGATGCAAAAGGAAGGTGTGTGCCCTAATCATGTGACTTATACCATTCTTCTTCATGGGTATATTCAATTGGATGATATTGACAGTGCTGTGAGATGTTCAACAAGATGAATGTAGATGGTTGTGTTCCGGATAGGATTGCTTATGACACTTTATTGAAAGGCTTCATGAGAGCTGGAAGGCTTCTTGATGCAATGTCACTTGTGTGTTTAATGCGCAAAAGGGGATTATACCCAAAGGGGGCATCTTTTGAAATGTTATTATACTGTTTCTGCAGAAGTGGACTAAATGATTCTGGATCCAGAATATGTCAAGAAATGATCGCCAAAAATTAACAACATATCCTACATGGGTCACCATACAATTTATGTGAAAATAGAAGACTGCATGAATATCAGTTGATATGTGACAATACTTTTCAAAGAGCTCTGAAGAAAGGAAAGAAGCTTCTCATGTGTTTCAGCCAAGCTCCCCATTATGTCAAAACTACTTGAAAGGAGAAAGTATTTAGAATATGAAGGATGAAAATGAAGCTTACTTTAGCTGTGAAGTTGACATAGCATTTCATTGTTGAGGAAATGATCTCGAGTAAAATCTATTTGTTCACAAAACAAAATATGGACTATAGCTGTCTTTTATCAGTTATGCTATCACGATCATCAGGTAACACCAACATGTATATCTTGTATCTTAAAACATGTTTCTCACCTTGGTTAATCAATTGGTGATAGAAACTGAGTTAAAAAATATCTTGTAAAGTTGGAATTATACCAACTTAGAAGTTGTTGCAAATTCATTCAAGTCTAGACACATTTTTAATTTTGTCCTATGAATATACAAATTCATTCAAGTCTAGACACATCTATTTGTCCTATGAACATTTTCTGGAAATATCACTAACAAAGAAACATTTTGATTGCAGATATTGTGAATGAAGAATTGGCGTTGTGCTTAATTTCTCTTCTCTTGCAGTGCAGATTGATTAGTATGGTATGTATTTATTTACAGATTTTCCCTCCTAATTGTAATTAATATTGCATTGTTAAATGGGGAAATTTACAAGTGCAGGACATATTGAAAGAACAATTGAAATGAAAAAAGGGGGGAAAAAAAGGTGCAAAGGCTTCTGTAGTTAGAGATTGTGTCTACTGTCTTGTGTCTTTATAGGGCTAAAACTGAAAATTCCCTTAAACACCCATCTACTTTACTCCCAGGACACCCGTAAACATACTACATTTCACAATTTATAAATTGCATTTTGTTGCAACCATCAAAACTGCGTATCTCCACGATTTTGTGCTTTTCTTACCAAATACCCTAAAAGAAGTTCACAAGGACTGCACGAAAGTAGTGCTTCAACCATGTTTCCTTGACATTTGTTTTCTTCACGAATGACCAGATATGGTCAGATAAATGAGAAATGCTTGCAATAAAATGCTACGCCTTCAGTTTTTTTTCCTAAGAGAAGGGATGGCACAGTCTCTTGGGTAATTTTCTTTCATAGACCATGAACGTCTCATGTGATCCATACAAGTAAAGATTGACGTATGCAACAAGACTTTCTCACGCATAGGATAACACAACTACAACGTGATGGCTAGTAATTTATAATTTATTCTTGTCCGGAAAAAGAAAGTTGTTTCACTTCATTTTGGAAACATCATTATCACTGATTTTAATAAAAGCAGTTTTAGTTCTTTTGTTAAAATACAAAGAACCTGATTTGTGTTCTTCCTTGGAATAGTTGCTTTCGATAGAAGTAATGGATTCCACCGATGGCCAGCAATGACAGCAACCATGACACCATTGAAAAGCATCCTTAACTTTGTGTGAGATCTTTTTTTTCTCTCGTTAATGATATAATCATTCCATTCTTTCCATGTATTGAGAATATAGGAATATCGAATGAATGTTTCTTGTATCTATTTTAGGTGAATGGTACAATGCTTCATATATATACAAAGGTAAAGCCTAGAATCAATGCTAACTACCAACTACCAACTACGAACTCCTGCTTTGACGGGCTTGTATTTGAGGTCAAATCTATGAAACTCCTTTTCCGGTTACCAGAGCTGCTAATCATCTGGAGCTACTTGACAATGCTCCTGAAGTTCTGGAGTGGATCCTTCAGAAGAAAAGGTAGGACGAAAGAAAGAAAGGGGTGAGGCCCTGCAGGGGCAGTTGGGCTTTACCTCTAATTCCATGTCTCTCCTCATTTCACTAGACACTAGAGGGAATCTGGCTTATTGAAGTTTTGATGCAAGATTTTGCCGCCATTGATACAACATAGTGGTATGTAATGGAGGTTGCTCCTAATTTTATCTCTTAGCGGCTGGAGGACTCAGCTTAGTGGCCCAAGACCATTTTTGATGTTGGCTCTGGCATCGGTGGCAGTTCAAGTTATATGGCAAAGGAATTTGGGGCAAAGTGCATAGGCATCACTTTGAGTCTTGTTCAGACTGCTAGAGCAATTTACGCTTCCTGCTACTCAAGGATATGCTGATGAGATCTGTGTGTTTTTTTTTTTTTTTTAAAATTCATATTTATGCTGCTGGCTGCGTAGAATTGATATAAAAAAAAATTAAAGAAACCAAGGTGTTTTCCCCCTAATTCATATTCAATGTATCTCCGCCTTTTTAACTTCATATTTTTACAATAGCACGTTCCTTTCAAGTTACAGGTGCTTTAAAGCAACTGTTCCTCAACGGGTAGTTTGATCTGGCATGGGCCATGAAGAATGAAGAACAGACACCTGACAAAACAAATTGTGGACTGATTGTGTTAAATTCTTTAGTTCAATCCAACACTAGCATGGTTCTTTAACTCAAAATCCCTTAGTTAAATTCGAAGAGGAAGACCAAACATGCAGAGATTGAGGTTAGTCGATTTCACAAAGGGCGGCATGAGAAGTCTTGATGATATCAATGCAGAGTAGTGCTAGGGCCTGATAATTATGCAAAGCCAAACTAAACATCATGTAAACAATCCAACAATGAAGAGCTTGTGTTGTGACTTGATCAGTAACTAGGGCGATGCTTCTATTGCCTACTCGATTTTTTTCTAACCTAGGAAGTGATATAGTTATTTCTTTTTCTGAATTTTAGCTATTTTCAGTCTGCTGATTGTTGCATGTTCTCATGTCTCTGTACTTTCAGATTTGGAGAAAGTAATTTAGCAATTTCAATGCTACTTAGAATGTATATTTACCTTCATGCACTAACTATTTTAGGCACCGCCACTATGTTTGGATGAGGTTGTGGATTTGAGCTTAATGTAACATATTTGTGTACGTGTATGTGTTTAATTATATTAAATTAAATAAAAAGGTATGGAAAGTGACAATAAAATTCAAAATTATGATATTCCAATCAAGTATTTAACACTTCAAAATGCTTAAAAGGAATTAACTCTAAATTGAAAATTTTGAAATTAAAAAAAAAAAGATAAACAAATATATTTTTTAAGGTTGGAACCCCTCGTTGGTGGTTAGCCACTCGGTGTCAGAGCTCTAGCACTAGCTACCGACGAGGTACCTTCTAGTGGGAGCATTTTTTCTCTGTGGTAGGAGGAATTTTTTTTTAAAATAATAAAGAAAGTGGTATTGGTGGAATTTGATCCTGAACTAGGTGGTTTTCAAAATTAAGAGTGATCATTAAGCCAAATAATTTTCTTAATGTTCTAATGCAAAATAATATATATTTATAAGTTAACTCTTTTACTTTGGTTTCAATTTGTGATGACAATTCATCTGGAACTAACAAATCCTAACTGTGAAAGAAGTTTAGATTTGAGATTAACAAAATGTTTTTTTTTCTGATACATAACATGCAAATTAATTAAAAATGGCAACAATTCATTTCAGAATAACAAGTCCTAATTGTGAAATAACATGTTTGAATTTGGGGTTAACACCACATTTTTCCTAATACATAACATGTGATCAATTAAAAATGATAACAATTCATTTGGGAATAGCAAGTCTTAATTGTGGAATGACAAGTTTGGATTTAGTATTAACAATACGTTTTTCTTGATACTTTTTAATTATACTTTTTCGGTCCTTAATACAAGGCTTCTTTAACTAATCTGATTATATTAAGGAAGTTAGGTAAGTTAACTATAAAAAATATAACATATCTTTCTTAAAACACCATAATCATCTTCCTTAATATCCTTCTTCACTCTCCTATTTGATTATGGTTAAAAGAGTTGTAATTGAGGTAATTTAGAAAAATTAATAAATATAAGAAATAGGTCTTATATTTAGGACTAACATTAATTCAATAATCAGATTATATATTAAGGACAGGAGAAGTATTAGTTATATTGTTTATAATTTATAAAAAGTATTTTAATTTATAATGCATTATATAGATATATAAATTAGAAAGTATTTATAAATTGTAAGGCTAATAGAGTTATGCATATCATTATAAGAGTTATTAATCACGTTTACGTTGAAAAAATCTTGTAAAAAATTGAAAAATTCATGGAAAATGATATTAATAAAATTATGAATATCATTATAAAAGTTGTCAATCATGTTAAAAATGTTAAAAAAATTCCAAAAAAAAAGTTGCCGCCGAAGCTTTAGAAAATTGTCATTAGCTAACCACTAGAGCTCTGGTTTTGGTGGCCCATCAAAGCTCAGATGGCCGGCTAGGCAAAAAGTGTGAGTTGAGACTTTTCAAGGGGGAGAAAAAAAGAAAATAAATGACTACATTCTAAATTCAGCAACATTTCAAATTCCAGTGAGTCATTAGGACTAATTACATCTATTAATGGAATTCATAGGCTAGCTATAGTTCATAATTTGACTTAAAGCAATATTAATCATTATTTTCGTTTCCTTGCTTTATAATTTTCATCCTGCATGAGAAATTCATAATTTTTTTTTTGGGTAAAAGATTGAACTGCTTTCTAACACAAATAATCTCTAACCTATCTCTTTTGTTTAAGAAAGAAATTCTAGTTTTCATTCATTATTTGTTAACGATGAACTGAAATTCGAAACTACAATTCATTTTCAGAAGGACTATTTTATTAATAAAAAAGATTAAAATACAAATCATCTTGGCCTCCGATCCAGGAAAGGGAGTCATAAAATAGTTGCTAAAACATGTTGTCAATATCTCTCTACAAATATATGTATATAATGGAAAAATGTGAATTATCATATTTTTTCATTTTTCATTCTTTTAAAATTTTCATATTGACCATATAAAACAGAAACTGTTCTAGTCGCGTATGCATTGAAGGGAAATTTGGTAAAAACTATTGCGGATGTGAAATTGTTGTTACGTTTAATAGCCCACGTTCCAAAATATGTAGCGATTTTTCCTTCCGAGCGGCACCAGCAGACAAGTTCTGCATAGTCCAAATTTAATGCCAGGAAGGTAATTTTTAATTTTTTTTCAATAAAATTATATGAAAATTTGAAATAGTTCTTTTTAAAAATATGTGGGAGAATTAATTTGCCAATCCTTATAGTTTCACCCAATTTTAAATCCTTATTGTTTACACTGTTATTAATGTTAATCCTTCTGTGCTTCTGCCGTTAGTTTCAATTGACCACAGATGATATGGCATTTGACTAAAATCTGAGTTAGCATATCCCGAAAAAAAAAAAGAATCAATTTCAATGCTTATCATGTTGATGAGCACTTAAACTCATCAGATCTAGATCATCTATATCTGATTTGAATGATTCAGATTTAAAATATTTAATTAATTATTTTTAAATAGGAAAAACTATTTTTTAAAAGAATGATAATTAAGAAATTATTTCTATTTTAGATTCTATGCGTATTAAAATAATTATTTTGAAAAAATAAAAATAAAAAAGAAATCAATCTGAACCATTAAATAATATATGATATGAACTATTCAGATCTAATAAGTTTAGGATGCTCCTCAAAGTCATCAAAACTGGTCGGAAAAAAAAACAGAGAGAGAAAGTAACCATCTTTCTCCTTTTGCAGCTTTTCTCTTCCCTCCTCCACTAAGTGCCTCTCCCCACTCTAGCGGGCACTGTGATCTCACTTTCACAGTTTATACTCTCTCTGTCCCCCTCTGCCATCGCCATCTATATCTTCTCTTGCATATGATTTCTATTTTTCTTTCTTTATCTCTTGCTGTATCTCTTCGATGGCAGCAATGCTTCAAGGTCGCCACACCTCAGCCGGCTCGACAAGCAAGCTGCTAATCCCATTGCTGTCAATGTTGCCGACGACAGAAGTGATGACCTTTTGCTCCAGAAGTTGCTATTGCTTCCCCTTCGACAGTACCACCATGAAGACGTCGTCACCGGCTCTATCACCCTTCTCTCTGACGCCAGGCTCTGTTTGAATCTGAACGAGTATGACTGCTTCAGGAGGAAATCACGACTGCCGCTGAATCAATCATCCTCCATATTCACGTGGTTCTTACTTAGCGGTCGCTCTTCATTGCAAGGAGTGATTTTCGACACTGGAGAATGAGCCACTAGCGATGGAGCTTGGACTGGGGTCCATAACAATCTATGCAAAATCGTGTCGTCTATCCCTATCTTCACCGTCATCTGAGACATAGCGAAGCTTATGCGAGAGGAGATACGGTGATGGTCGAGGAAGAGAACATGAACAGGAGAATGAGATAATAGCGCGCGTTGGAGAAGACTCGGTGGAGGAGGGAGAGATAGAAGCTTATAGAGGAAGAAGATGGTTGCTTAATCAGATGCCACATCGCCTCCGGTAAACTGAAACTAACGGCAGAAGCAAGTTTAACAAACAGAAGGATTGATGCTAATAACAGTGTAAACAATAAGGATTGAATAATAATAAAAAAAAATTACAGGGACCTGATTTAAAGTTGAGTGAAACTATAAGGATTGGCAAGTTAGTTTTCTCAAAATATATTAATGAAAGTTCACGTAAACTTTCCCTTTCTAAATATAGATGATAATTATGTTTTTAAACTATATATACGCTTCTTAAAAGTGAGCCACATTTTTAATTACTCATTACTATTTTGCTAAAATCTATAGGTCCAATTTTTCTTGAAATTCAGTTTTGCATATCCGGTTCTTCTTAGACGTCTTGGGTTGTTCTAGGTTATTCTGCACCTTGGGCTGAGTTATGGTTTTTTTTCCTTCTTATTTTGTCTTTTCTGCTTTTTATCATGAGCCTCTTTTTCTTAGAATGTTTTAATACTACTTCATTTGATTCTAAATATAAAATCTAATTTATGACATAATCTACACTACAAATTCTTTTTTATATTTAGGACCAGAGGTAGTATGTAGGTGGGAGGATTTTTTTAATGTATCATTTTGTTATTTCTGATATATATTGACTTTTGATCAAAAGAAAAAGGCCAAAATACTCATAACCCTCTTAACTTTAACTTTGTTGCATATAACCTTTATTATATTTAAAAGTTTAAAAAGAAAACCCTCAACTTTTATATCTTGACATTTAACACCCTACAATTAAAATTACTATTAAATCTAACGAAACATATTATTGAAAATTATATGGCTGATTGCGTGTATTTTTATTATTTTATTTATTCTGGTTTTAAAAAGCTCATAACTAGACTAACAGGCATTTTGGTAGGTCATCCCATTTTATTTCTATTCTCTGCAACTTGCAGATCCTCTCCATTT